GAGAAATTCGGCCATGGGCTCTGACAGATGCTCGAAGTATGTCAAGCTCTGGTTGATGGACGTCTGGGCGGCTGTCATGGGTGTTAGTATGGGCACTTCTTTGAGTCTTCCTCTACCTACTGTATGCATGCCCATGAGACTTGACGGCAAAACACAGAACCCTGAAGCAGTGACTCCGTATGGCGTTGCTCTTGACTCTGGCCTCGTTCTCGAGGATGTGGTATACTGGCTTGGTGAAGAGGCCGATGAAGGTGTCTCGCTCCGAGGTGGTAACGAAGATTCGGCCCAGCTTGAGCCTCAGCACCTTGCTCATGCGGTCGAGAGCCGTCTCTAGTTGCGCTGAGGCATCCCAGACGACGTCTTTGCCGCCTCCCGCTTTCGTCTTTGTGGCCTTACCCCGCCCCCGCGCTGCTGGTGCAGAGGCAGACTTCTCAAGCGCTCTGGTCTCGACGGCAGAGATGGTCCATCGGAGAAGGAAGCCATACATCTCCAGCAGGTTCTTGTGGTGTGGTATCGCATCTTGGTCTTCGGCTTCGAGGTCGGCGTGGATGATGTCGGTTTGCGTGGACAGCGCCGAGGAGATGAGGTCGAGGATCTTGCTGAGGATGGCTGGCGGTATTTGCGACGAGTGCCTAGATAGTCGGAACAGTTTAGAATTAGGTTCCGTGTCATATTGTTTTGCATCCTTTGGATATGCGGGGACGCACTTCAAGAGAAACTGCAGCGTGTCAAACACAGAGCTGCGAGTAATCGCATCTGGACTCTCCGCCACGGCATCGACCACAGGATTCAGCTCGCTGTTGATCAATCCGGGCGACGACAGCGATTCGGGCTCATCTTCGCAGTCTTGCAGCGCCTGCGGGGCCTCGGGGGTGGGTATCGCGGACGGATCGCTGTCGAACAGCTTAACCGCCTCATTGATGTCAAAATCCACCCGGGCGTCCATGATGATCAGAGTCGCTTGAGGAAATCAGAAATCAGAAACAAGAAGCGACGAAACGAGCGTCGGGGCCAGGGTGGGGGTGTTTGCGCCGTGAAAGTTAAGATGCGGCCGCAACCGTCGCACATGCACCGACCCAGGAAGGCGCGTTGCAGCTGTTTGTTGGTGGTCCGAGCGTCTGCCATCAGTCTTCCCCTTTCGGCCTAGCCAAACAGGGTCCAACGCGTCGGCCGCCATACCGCGAAGAAAGATTCACGCATCGTTCAACACAACATCACAAGCCACGCGCACAATGGCAAAGGCACGCACTTCACTGAGTCATGCAGAGGCAATCGACGTCCACGAGGACGATATGGGAGAGGACCAGGCCGAAGAGACACAGGACGAAAGCATGAACCCGCTCGACGAAAGCGGGCGCACTGCCGACAGCAGCGACGAAGAAGTCGAAGATTCCGTTCAGGAAGATATGGCACGCTTCGAGGAGACATTTGTCGGAATCAGCAAGCGGTTCCGACTGATTAACCGCATTGGAGAGGGTATGTCCTACATCATTGGCTTGCAGCATGCAGGGTAGCGGGCTGGACTTACGCTTTCCACAGGAACCTTCTCCACCGTCTACAAGGCTGAGGACCTCGAATACACCAAGTACAACAACGATTGGGACATCGACGAGCGCGAGGAGGCTAAATCGCTCCCAGCACACAAGAGACAACCCGCCAGAAAGCCCCGCTACGTCGCGATCAAGAAGATCTACGTCACGAGCAGTCCGATACGCATCTTCAACGAGCTCGAGTTGCTGTTTGATTTGAGGGACGCGGATTCAGTATGTCCGCTCATCACCGCCTTCCGCCACCAAGACCAGGTCGTCGCTGTGTTGCCCTACTACCAGCACCGCGACTTCCGCGATTACTACCGCGACATGGGCATTTCCGACATGCGCTGTTACTTCAAGAGCCTGTTCACTGCACTCGCAGCCGTACACAAGAAAGGCATCATTCACCGCGACGTCAAACCCACCAATTTCCTCTACAATACCTCGCAGTCGCGCGGAGTCCTTGTCGACTTTGGTCTCGCCGAGCGAGAGGGCACAGACTGGCACAACTGCGCCTGCCACATGTCGGAGGAGGACCGTCGATACAGGATATCACACAGTGTCTACGCGCAGACACAGTCAGCAGGCCACACCGCTTCCGCATACCCTAAGAATGATACACGCAACAGCCGCCGTGCCAACCGTGCAGGTACTCGTGGTTTCCGTGCGCCTGAGGTACTGCTCAAGTGCACCCAGCAGACCTGCTCAATCGACGTCTGGAGTGTCGGTGTCATCCTGCTCACCATGCTCTCGAAGCGGTTCCCATTCTTCCACAGTGCAGACGACATCGATGCGCTCCTCGAGATCACGACCATCTTCGGACGAAAGAAGATGCGAGAGACAGCCCTCCTGCACGGCCAGGTATTCGAGACCAATGTACCCAGCTATAGCGAGGGTGGGCACAGCCTGGAGAAGATCATACTCTGGTGCACAGGCCGCACAGGCGACAAGACACAACCAAAGAGGGAGCTGGATGAGGATGAGAAAGAGGCTGTCCAGTTCTTGCACCGCCTTCTGGAATGCAATCCTGCGAAGCGCATCACAGCAGAAGAAGCGCTCCACCACCCTTTCCTAGTGAACGCTTACGAAGAACATGAGGGGGACGATGACATGAAAGAGGAGTTTGTAGAGGATTAACGCCATCAATCACGTCTATGATGACGATGTATGAGTAATAGCATGGAAGGCGTATAACGGCATGGGCATAGTACAGGAGTTTTGGCCATTTACAGAGCGGCGACTCAATGAGTTATTGCGATACCCTTCCGTACGGTCAAGAGCATGTTCAATATACTTTTGCTCAATAACGATCGTACATTATGATACATTTGAGTCAGTCTGATCCCGCATGGTTGACTGCTAACGGAAGCATAGAGCGATGTCATTGGGTTAAATGCAGATTCATTCTCATTTCTCATAACTAAAGAAGCAGCGCTGTTCAACTCAGGAACACTAATACGTTCAAGGTGGCTGTATCCTCTACTCGATCGTCGCAATCCGCCATCTACTCATCCTGAGCACACTTCTGCGTTATACTGCGGATCTTCTCGCCAAACAGATAAACAAAGATGCCCAAGAACATCAGTGCAGCCACAATGCCGCCGCAGATATTGAACGCACCCTCATACCCAGCCTTCTCAACGAAAGCGATCGACCCGAACGAGATTCCAAAGCCAATGAAGCCTCTGAGCGAGCAGATGAGAACGAGCGCAGCATCGATGCGCTGAGGATAAGCATCCATGCAGTACACGAAACTGGAAACGACAATACCGACGAAACCAAAGTACTCGACGTTTAGCGTGACGGCGATGCCAGCCCAGCTCCAGTTGTTGGGATTCTGTGCGGTCATGCCGTAGATGATGGTCGAGATGAGGATAGACACCAGCGGGATGATAAGAGCGAGGAGACGGTATTCCGGCTGACTCACACCATCATTCCTCTTACTCATCGTCTTGACGATCAAATCGCTCAGGGAACCGCAGAAGAGCGGGACTGCAACGGCTGTCGCGACCTGTCCCGCAAAGACATAGCCCAACATATCGAAGTTCCAGAGGTAGGGCGGTTGGACGAGGACGCCGGCGAAGAGGGCGGACATGAGGACGTAGATACCGAGCGCGGCGGAGTTTATCAGGATGAGCCACAGGATGTTGGGGAACCAGATGATTTGGAACATTTGCTTCCAGCAGGATATGGCTTCAGACCAGTGGGCGTGGCCTTTCCAGGGGAGCATGTCTTTGACGAAGCTGCGGGGTGCGTAGTTGATGGTGTCGAGGGGCCGCTTGGTGTTTGTTGTTACGGGGACGAGGGTGCCGTCTTCGTCGATACCTTGGCCGTCTGAGGGGGGTTAGTATATGTGCTGGACTATGTGGTGTAGGTCGACTTACTCAGTGCCTCAAGCGTGCGCTCATACTTAGTCTCCGCGACGAAAATGATGCTGAGGACTGCAATGGCGCCGCTCAGACATCCAAACACGCCGTACCACCATCTCCAGCCCAGATCGTTCGCGAGATACGAACTCGCTACAATGAGCGCAGCAGTACCAAGCGTCTGCAGCGCGCAGAACCACGCAATGACATGGCCTCTCTCGTGCAGGTAGAAAATCTCCTGTACGATGATGGGGCACAGCGCTTCAGCTTGGCCGGCAGCAATCGACATGACATCTCTGCCTGCGATGTGCGACTCCAGACTTCCACTGTACGCGCACCAGAGACATCCGAAGGAGAGCACGATGGTCGACATGAGATAGACGGGCCTTCGGCCGATGGCATGGGCTACAGGGATCGCGAGGAGGTTACCAACGCCCATGTAGAAAGCTGGCCAGGTTGCGAGGTCGCTGGTCTTTGGGTCGCCGCCGTACGAGGCTTGTACGATGGGTAGGATGGCGGTGATGCCACTGGCCATCAGGTTTCCGGTGGCAGCGTAGAGGCCGACGATGATCAAGATAATGTACTTTTGCCATTTCGGAAGGTTCAGAGGATCTATGTTCGTTAGCGATCCTCGTCTTGATGGTTTTGATGGATTGGAGCTACCATTGGGATCTCTGCTTGGTGTTGGGATCAGCACAATGCCATCCTCGTCGTACAGCCTGATGGTGCCAACCACCGGCCTGGCAGCTTTCTTATGCGCATCGACTATCTCAATGTGAGCGCTGGCTTCGTTCTTGGAGTCGTGAAGCGCCATGATGGACATCCGCTGATGCCTCGAAACAGAGAGGCATTCCCCAGATTTTGTACACCTCCAGGTCCGAAGTGGACGCAGCTACCAGCGCCATGGCATCTGCGTCGTGACTTGGAACACGACTCTCAGCGCAGTGCAACCCCGGACCTCGCCCGCACTGGGCCGCGCAGCCCAATAAGTATGCGAACGGATTGTGGAGGGAGCGCGGGCTAAGCCGATTCCAGGTGTGGGGATAGCCCGGTCCAGGCAGGGGGAAAAGCTGGGAACGACATGGGGGACACGAGACGAGACATGCGGGGTACGCGCGTACCGTGTACTTACAGGCCTGGGAGATTTTGAGCCTCAAGCTCCTCGGCAAATGTTCACCACCCACACCACGTACGTCACCTTCACGCACCATGAGCGAAGCCGGCATCAAGACATCGCAGCGCGTGAGCCGCTCGTGCGTCGAGTGCAGCCGTCGCAAAATCCGCTGCGACAAGAAATCCCCCTGCGCGCCCTGCGTGCGCCGCAATGCCGGAAACTCCTGCCGCCGGCCGATCGTCCGCGTCAGGGGACAGCTAACCGTCTACGCCGACTCCGAGGCTGGCAGCGCGGAGGATGTGCAACTCGAGGACCTCCTGCGCGAACGAGGCGCCCTGCGCGCCCAGATTGCTGAACTTGAGACCGCTCTTGCGCTGTCGAAGCCGTGTGCTCATAGCCGCACCAGCGAGTCTACGGACTATTCTGCACCGTCGGCTTCCCTGGAGGACCTGATCCCGGCGTTTGAACAGTTCGATATCGGTATCACGACCAATGCTGCGCGCGAGGGTGGCGAGAAGGATCTCATAGATAGACTTTACGAACCTGCTGCGGATCCCATCTATCTGCTTCTTCCCAGTAAAGACGCTAGTATCCAACTCGTTACCTTCTCGCTCCAAACGCTGGGTTGGCTGCACTGCGCCGTGGATGCTGATGTGTTCTTCGGAGAACACGAAGAGTTCTGGCAGAGTACGCAGCTCGGTGCTGGCATCGATCGCGCACGGAGACCCTGGCTGGTTGTCTACCTTGCTGTCCTTGCTGTGGGCATACTCTATTCCAACCCAGACGAAATACCCGATGTCAACCAACTACCTCAACTTGGAATGCCATTGGACAATCCTGTTTCTATTGCAGTACATACGTCTCGTCTCTGGTATGAGGCTGCGCTGAAAGAGTTAGAGAGGTATGGGTTTGCAGGCTCACCTTCTCTCCCTGTTGTTCAGGCTCTGTCGGTGCTGACACTATGTCACTCCAACTTTGGTGAACACCAGCGAGAGTGGCTTATCACCGGCTTTGCGACAAACATGGCTAGATGCCTTGATATGCACAAGCTGGGGAATGAAGTCAACATCTCCAAAGACCTGTGCAAAAGACCGGAGTGGTCGTCCCCTTCTCAGCGAGAAATGGGGCGTCGGTTGTGGTGGGCTTGCGTTATCCGGGACTGGTAAGTACTGGCCACGTGCACTTTGGCCCAATCGATCTGACTGACTCTTTCTAGGCTTGGAAGTTGGTCTCGACCGCCATCAATTTCCCCCGCCAGCTTTTGCTGCCATGTATCGACCATCACCAGCCAGGACGACTACATACTACCCAGAACACCCATGGCTGATAGTCCTGCTTCTTTCGAGTCTGGAAATCTCGCTACTCCTTCACCGGCTCATTACCATTCAATCATGTGCCGTGTCTCTTACATAGTCTACATCTACATCAAAGCCAACACACACCAGACGAATTTGAAATTTATCAAAGCCATCGAGGAGGTTCAGACTGTTCGACGAGACCTGCCCCTGCATCTATCGTCAAACTTTCCAGCCAACGAAGACGACCGGATATGGGAGTTAGAGTACCCTTGGATACCATTCCAGCGCTATCAGATCCACTTCGTTATTGACTTCTTATTGCTGACCATCGCTCGTGTATTGTCACCGGAGCATCCAGATGATGACCCAAACTTCAGACAGCTGGCCCTCCAGTCGGCGAACAATCTTCTGAGCTACTACGCGAAGCCTGTTCCTAGGGTTTACAGGTTAGTTTGGGTTATATCTGCGTCAACAGTCGCAGCTGCTATATACGTATCCTTAGACATGCTTGCCAACCCGCATGACTATCGAGGTGACGCAAAACTTCGAATCATCAATCTCCTAAGAATGGCATTTACTGAGCTGAGAAAGCACTCTGCCGTTGCTGTCCATGCAGCAAAAGGCTCGGCTGTACTTGAGGGACTTTTGCCTGTGCTGGAACGACACGACACTGAGCTTCCTGGAACGTCACGTACGATACACGAACTACTGCAGCAGCTGTCGATGGCTGATCACAGCAACACCAACGACTTATCCAACTCGGCGCCTCCAATGGACGGCTTTGCCCACCACGGCAACTACGAGAACATTGACATGTTCGATGGCATTGGCAGCACACTCAATGCAACATACGGTTTCGACGACTGGGACGAAGTATTTGCTCAAATGTGAATGATTTCTATACAACGCTATAAAAATTCGCCTCTGCCTAAGAAAGTCATACATTATGTCTTCCTCAGTACGGCTTCACACCCGCCAGCTTAAGCAGCTTATCCGTCAACTCCGGCTTCTCAAGCGGCTCCGTCCGCTCCCATGGATCAATCTCTCCATCCACCTTGGCCTTCCCTTGCGAATGGATATTGATATGCGGCCAATGTGTAGTCGCCTCCCACTTCTCGAAGATCTCCTTCTTCTTCTCCAGATCCTCCTTGGACGCCATGGCTGCCGGTGTGTAACAAGCATAGATAATCGTGCGGATGTTGTCTGTCTCGGGGTACACAGCGTAGTGCATCTGTCGCGAATCCCACAGGATGAGATCGCCAGGCTCGGCGCAGACCTTGACCATCTTGCAGCCTTGGTCTTCGTACCACTTTACGTCGGTGTCTTGGAAGGGGTAGAAGTCGTAATGGAGAGCGGCGAGGGGGCCCTTGGTTCGGTCCGGAGGGTGTTGCTTGAAGAATTTGTCGAAGAGCTTGGCTGAGCCTTCCATTACGACGAGTCCGCCATCTTTGGGACCGGCCTCGGAGACTGAGGGGGTGTTAGCAGGGTGCTTAAGAATGGTTCGAAGAAAGGAGTCTTGACGTACGGTTGATGATACCCTGGACGCACGACAGGCCTTGTCGCTCGGGTGCCTGGTCGACGTGCGGCCATGGTTTGCTGCCAGCCATCTTGCCAGCATTCGGCAGTGTGAGGTTGATGGTATCGTATGACACAATGAGCTCGTTTGTGTTCCACAGCTTCTCAAACGCAGCTAGAACGCCTGGTTCTCTATTCGCAAAAGCGTCAGTCACCGAGAGTGGCGCGTCATTTGCGAAGAGGGGTACTCACTGTCTTGCCTCCCAAACATACTTCTCGTGTGCAGCGCAGTAGTTGAGGTACATGCCGTTCTTGAAGCTTTGGGGTAGATTCTCTTTGGTCCATGTCTCTGGCTTGTTGATATCGAAGTCGTTGGGGAAAGTACCGAGCCAGTCCATCATTTTGTTGCGGTACTTCAGAGCACGCTCCTTGGGCACAACGCCCTTGAGAACGACATAGCCCTTCTCGTAGAAGTCATCTCGCCAGTCGCCGTACTTTTGCTGAGCAGTGCTCGTGTTCTCGTTGTCGTCAAGGAAGGGCGCCATAGTCGCAATACAATGAGTTGATGAGTTTGAAATGGAGTAATAGATTCGGAGGTGATGGCACAAGATATTCCTCCACTGATATACTCCACACCCCTCTACAATCCTCTCGGTCACATTACCCCGGCTCGCCCGTCCACGGCCGCTCCCTGCGGGGACAGACAAGCTTCGTTGTGGGGCGGACCCTGCGGCTCACTGCATCACGGTCGAGATCGGGCGAGCCTTAGCGTGCATGTGCATCTCGAAACGCTCCACATGCCGACGCTACACCTCGAGAGCCGTGTGTAGATTTACAAAGGCAGGTCACTCGATAGAAGTGTCGCGGCCGAGAACGGTCGGGCGGTCTCCACGGAGTCCACCGGCAACAATACGCTCTTTTCAAAACCACGATGCGGCCTCCTCCTTCCCATGTTGCTGCAAGTCACTCGCAACAACTTCTTTGCCCGCTCTTTTCATACTGCAATCATGCCTCTCGCTTTTCAGGTCGCCAATCTGGCTGTCAAGCCGCCCAAGGTGGGTGAAAATGGCTACCAAGGCTTCAATCCGCGCAAAGAGACTCTTCGCAAGGGGTACCAAAGTCGGGATGGCGCTCGCGCACTTTCTGGAGACATGATTGCTGAGCACGATGTCGCTGTCAAAGTCAGAGATGGGTGTACTTTGTACTGCGATATCTACCGGCCAGTCGGTAGCGATGGGAGCGAGAAAGTGCCTGCGATTGTGGCCTGGAGTCCTTTTGGCAAGAAACATACGGGTATTGATATGATGTCAAAGGTTCGTATTCACCGTACAGAATAAAGATTCAGAATGAGGAAAGACTAACATCATCCAGGTCAAATGGGGTTGCGGTGTGCCGAAAGGCTGCCTCAGCGGTCTCGAGCGCTTCGAAGGACCCGATCCGGCAGAATACGTTCCTCGGGGGTATGCGGTTGTCAACGTAGATGCGAGAGGTGCGGGAGACTCAGATGGAGACATTGTCATTATGGGAAAGCAAGAAGGCGAGGATGGGCACGACGTGATCGAAGAGCTCGCAAAGATGGACTGGTAAGATTCGCACTAGTCTTCCGGATAACACCGATCTAACGATGATACAGGTGCAACGGCTCGATCGGACTGGCAGGCAACTCACATCTCGGAATCGTCCAATGGTTCATTGCCGCCACACAACCTCCCTCGCTTAAAGCCATCGCACCCTGGGAAGCCTGTGGTGATCTTTACCGCGAACAATTCGTCCGCGGCGGAGCTTGGGACAATGGCCTCTTCGACTTCATCACCGAGCACGTAATCCGGGGCAAGAACGGACTCGAAGACTTCAAAGTGATGTACCGTCGCTCCTCAACCATGAACCCCTACTGGGCAGACAAGCGCGCCGACATTGCCAGCATAAAGATCCCAACATACATCGTCGCATCCTACTCCAGTTTCGTGCATACCATGGGCTCGATACGCGGCTGGATGCAAGTCGATACGAAAGATAAGTGGTTGAGATGGGACCCATATCAAGAGTGGTACGACCTATGGGCCGTCCAAGAATCCATCGACGAGCTCGCATCCTTCTTCGACCGGTACCTAAAGGGCGAGAAGAACGATTGGGAAAACACACCACGCGTACGCATGTCGTCGCTCAACTACGGCGACAAAGAAGCCATCTACCCCATCGTCGAAGAAGACTTCCCCATTCCACGAACAGACTACCGCACCCTCTACCTCTCCGCCGATAACAAGCTTGAAGCCAATGCACCAAGCACGGCCGGCACCTTAACCTACAACTCCGAAAGCAACACTTCCCCTGTCTCCCACGCAGCCTTCACAATGACCTTCGACAAGCCTACCCGCTTAATGGGCCTCCCCAAAGCCGTCTTATACATGTCCTGCCCCGACTTCAACGACATGATCGTCTACGTCCTGATCCGCAAACTCGACAAAAACGGCAAGCCCATGATCGCCATAAACATTCCCTGGTCCGCCGCGCCTTACAAATCTGCCGCCGAAATCCCAGAGTCCGATTACTCAAACTTGATGGTTTACTACGGCCCCACAGGCGTCCTCCGCGCCTCCCACCGTAAAACCGATCCCTCGCAGTCTATCCACCCGCAATACCCATTTCATACGCACGACGAAGTGCAAAAGATACCGGCGGGGGAGGTGGTGAAGCTGGAGATAGGGCTATGGGCTATGGGTGTTGATTTTGAGGCTGGAGAGGGAATTAGCGTGCAGGTTAGTGGTGAGTATCCTCTAGTGCAGGAGTTTGGTCCGAGGAAGAAGGAGGAGCTTGAGGAGAGGAATAAGGGGACGCATGTGGTGCATGTGGGTGGAGACTTTGGTAGTCATGTTGTTTTGCCGTTTGTGTGAGGGGGGTGTTGAGGGTCGGGAGGATGGTTATACTTAGTAGACATGGTTCTATGGATGTTCGTTATTCTACCAATGTACAAAATGCAGTGCCCCAGAACACAGCCACAGCGCGTCAATCCTCGTATTCCCTCCCGTTAGCCGTCCAGAAAATCTCCCGTATGTCTAAATTGGCACGCCTTACTGCCCTGGATCTTCCCTATTCTGTCCTAGCTTCCTGCCAAAAGCTCTTGGCGTACCGGGCGCCTGACTGGAACGGGTTACGCGCGGTGAGGCTCTTCGTACGACTACACCTACGCGAGGAAGATTGAAAGTTAATAGGGGCCCAGGCGTCGGTGAAGTGGGGAAAAAGTCTTCTGGTGGCATGGTTGGTATAGGTGTTAGATGAGTGCCTCGGGATGGGCATTGCTTGAGTACGGTAGTAAAAGAAGAAAAGTGGGTAAAGTGCCGCTGGTGCCGGTGGATGGGATGAGTATAAGGGAAAGGTAAAAGTAACTTGGGTATGATTTAACACAGACGGAGTTCCACATATCTCCCGCACGACTTCGGATCTGCGAAAACATCTCTTTGTCAACAATACAGCGGCACATCCTTACTCGTACAGCACCATTTCACAACCATGTCTTCCCTCACCTCCCTCGACACCTTCCTATTCCCCACACCAACCTCCTCCCTCGCCCCCTCGGGCACACAAATGATAATATCCGGCACCCCCCTCGCCACACCCCTGACCTGCCACCCCTCCGTATCACGAGAAATGTTCTTCAGCGACGTCTCCGGCAAGTATTGCACGTACAACATCGCCGCCGGCAGCAGCAACAAAACGATCCCCTACCTCGCCTCGTGCTGCAAACCGGGGGCTGAGGTGAAAATGTGGCAGGACTGCATGCTTTACTGCGAGACTTCGTCGAAGCAGGCCGACGAGTGGAGGGAGTGTGTCGAGGAGATTTATCCGCAGGCGAAGACGGATCCGCATTTTGAGGTTGTGCAGGTGTGCTATGGATTGGAGGGGAGGGGGTTGGAGTATATAGAGGGGCCGAATGGGACGAGGGCGCCCGAGGTGGCGCAGAGTAGGACGAGTGTGGGGGGTGCGGTGCAGACGGGGGATGGGGAAGGTATGTTGGGACTTGATGAGATGCGTGTGGAATGTTTGATTGACTGACTGGTGTTAGGTAAGGCGAGTGGAGATGGAGTTTCTTTGAGGCTGGTGGGATGGGCGGTAGCTTTCCTGGCTGTGGGAGCTGGATTTTTGGCTTGAGTGTTAGTTCGGTGTTGGGCTGAGCTACGAAACAGAAGATATCCCGTTATATACCCATGGAGAAGGAGAAGACGCTGTAAGATGGATGTGAATGCTGCTTGATTAGTATAGTCATCACTGTAGTAATGCTGAGCATCAGTGACATCGTGAAGCGTATGCCATGCGCTGCCACAACTCACCATGCAGGCGGTCCCTGAATGCGTCTGATGTATACACAATATGTTTTACAA